AGCACCATGAATTGTTTATATAGATCTAAGAAGGTCGAGCAGAAGGCCCATGTGGATTTGAGATGGGATTGAGATTGAGGTTACCCAAGAGTAAAATAATACCAGTTGCTGTGGGCTGTTTGTAACTATGCACATGTGTGGTTATACAATGTGTTTTATATTTTCAGGCATCCATAGCAGCAGCCCAGGTGTCCTCCAGTAGTCCCACAGTCACTCTTGTCCAGTTACCCAATGGTCAAACAGTCCAAGTGCACGGTGTGATCCAAGCCGCTCAGCCTTCGGTCATTCAGTCCCCACAGGTGCAGACGGTACAGGTAAGAGGAGAGGGGAAACTTAATCTTGCAAATAATGACTGCAGTAGGGGATATGAGCTGAACATGATGGCTTTGAAGTTTGTAAATGAATTCAAATTGAATTTGAGATGATTTCCTTACAGATTTCGACTGTCGCTGAGAGCGAGGACTCTCAGGAATCTGTCGACAGCGTGACAGATTCTCAGAAGAGGAGAGAGATTCTGTCCAGGCGGCCTTCCTACAGGTCTGTGTGACACGCTGAGAAACTGCAGATGCAAACAGCATTTCCTTAATCTGTACTGCTTCCATTTTGTGTCTGTATGACGTGTTCAAAGCTTAGAAGACAATGACTGACACTCTTTCATTTTTATCAGCTATAAATAGACTATTTGCAGATATGAAATGAGGAGAAAATAAAAGGTTGCTAAGATTTTTCTGCAAATGTTCCTCTTACAGAAAGATCTTGAATGACTTATCATCAGATGCTCCGGCAGTGCCTCGAATTGAGGAAGAGAAATCAGAAGATGACTCAGCCCCTGCTATCACCACGGTCACCATGCCCACTCCCATCTATCAGACCAGCAGTGGCCAGTACAGTAAGTACTTTGAGACACAGATAGCTGGTGGTTTTTGTTAAAAATAAGTAGGTGTTAACGTAATCGAGCATTCTACTTCTGCTGTCGTGCAATGAGACTATTTAAATTCACTAAATCAAATGACCAGATTAAGCAGACAGGGAACCTATTATGCTTTTTCTACATGCTGTTACAGTGGTGGATGATCATGTTAAACAAGTAATCCCAAACCTGTTTTTCAGGGATTGCCAATCAGCAAAAAGGCCACATTTGATGCTTTGATTCAGACCCTGTTTATTTATTTATTTATTTTTTTGCCTGTCCCGTTTGGCTCTTTTGCCATCAGAATTGTTGTCTAAAGGCAAAGAAAGATGCCCAACGGATTTACTTTACCAAATTG